TTTTAGTTGTCCAATTAATTTCTTCCTATTTTTAGTAGAGACAGGGTCTCGCTCTTGCTGAGGCTGGTCTCGAACTCCTGAGCTCAAACAGTCCGCCCGCCTCGGCCTCCCGGAGTGCTAGGATTACAGGTGTGAGCCACCGCACCCGGCCTACAGATTTCTTTTTTGTTCTTATCTGTTTTTTTTAATTTGTTATTTTTATGAAGCCAAATGAATAAGATAGTTGGGGTTTCATTCTTGCTTCAAAATATGTTTAGAGAGTGTTAGGTATTTTATAAATATTAAGTTTTCAGAATGTTTGAGTAATCTGCAATTTTACCACTTTTTTATCCCCTTCCTTGAAGTTTTAAAAACAAACCTTTATGTAACCTTTGCATTTAGAAGTTTAAGAAGGACAATTATATAGTTGATAGATTTTTCATTCTCTGGGTAATTTTTTTAATCTTCAGTATTCTTCAATAAAATATTTTAAATTTGAAAATGAATTTGGGTAGAAATATTTACCTTTTTTCTAAAGAGCAAAGATAAGGAATATTTTATTTACTGTTATTTGAGAAAATACCACGCTATGTAGTTGTATTATTGCATCATAATTCCTTAATTCCTTTAGTACTGTAGTCTCATTGTTTGTGTTTTTCATAATTTTCTTCTGAGCCACCTTTTCTGAACATAAAGGAGTACGTAAGTGAAATGGTAGAAATGCTTTTATCATTTTGATATTCATAGAATATTTGTCATTGGTGAAAGACCAGTATGATTTGCATTAGGTTTAAATTTCTCTAGACTGATGACCTCAGCAGTTTATAATTCTATATAGCCCCTTCTATAGAGCAGTTTATAATTCTCACTTCATATATCCCTAATTTTGTCATTACAGTGAAAATCTATAATTTTGTTTTTTGAATTTACTGTCATTTCACTTGACTTTGGTTTTTTATTTTTTGAAGTTTCAAAGTCCTATACTTTGAGCAATTAAGCAGTGATAAAGAACCAGTAAATAAGAAGCTATAAAAAAATTTTTTTCCTGAACCTGCCATGACTTATCTTATAAATATTCAGCATCCATGGAACAAATAATATGTTGAGTACCCATTATATGCCTGGCACTGTGCTAGGTGATGAGATTACCACCACAAATATGACAGTGTGATATGTCTTGTGATACAGCTAAATGCAAGTGCTGTGGCCCTCATAAGAAGGAATCCCAACCCAATAATCAGGAAGGTCAGGAAGGCTTATCCAAGGTATCTAAACTGAGATCTTGAACAATATAGTAGTTAATAAAGCACGGATGTGCATGTTTGTGTGTGTGTGTGTGTGTGTGTGTGTGTGTGTGTGTGTGTGTGTGTTTTTCTCTCTGTCTTTGGAGAGAGAGAAGGGAATGTGGCGGGGGCCCTCAGAGGAGAGGAGAGAAAGGAAAGGGGAAGAATGCAGTACCATGCAAAGACAAAGGCCTGAACGTGAGAGGGTCTGGAATTGTTAGGTAATATGTTAGGTCATACATCATCGACATGTGCTATGTTTTAGAACCATTTTCAGGTTTTTGTTAATAAGTGGGCATATCAAAATGTAAGTCAAATTTGTAAAATGGAAAACAAGACATACTTTTAATAAATAAGAATATGGGATTTTTATTCATGCAATCATTTTAGATATGGCTTTTTAAAAATCACCTGCTTATAAAAATAATAAAATATTGATCTTTGAAAAATTTTCAAACTCTGAAACTTTTTCCATATTTCATTTCTTCCCTCCTCTGTCAAGACCTAATCACCATTCAAATTTTGGTGAATATTTCTCTAAATGTTTTTCTATACTATATTATTTTGATTTAGTTATGGTAGCAATAATAGCAAGAATAGTAACAATACAAATAAATGGGTCAACCTATTCTTTCTCTTTTGCTACTTGAATTTTCATTTAATAGTGTATACTTTCATGTCAATAAATATAGATCTTTCTCTTTTGTTTAAGAGCTGTACAGTATTACAGCATATGTGTTCACAAATTATTTAAGAGGTTTCCTTTTGATGGACATGTAGGTTGCCTGTTTTAAAACTGTACTGCAGTGAGTATCTTTTTATGTGTGTCTTTATGAACTCTGAGAGTTTGAAAGTCTTATTTCAGAGCATACATATTTCAAAATTTTTCGTTAATCTACACCCTCATCCTTTGCATTTTTATCTTCATATTATCATATTGCTGCTGTTGCTAAGATAGCGAAATTTGTAAAATCAATAATTTTCCAAAACTTATTTATAATCATGCTGAAGATTTTTATAAATTCTAAATCTTTTTTATGTCAACCATTATTTCATTGACAGATGAATTTAAAGGTCATTCTTTACTACAAGCAGCCAGAGAAGCAGACCTAGCCAAAGTTAAAAAAACACTTGCTTTGGAAATCATTAATTTCAAACAACCACAGTCTCATGAAACAGCACTGGTAAGATTTTATTGTTAATCTGTTTTCTGGGTCTGTAATAATAGTGTAAGCACAAAATACGATTTTCATTTCAGAAACCTTAAAGTAACTTTAGTGTCTGAAATGCCAGGAATTTGCATTTTAACATTGGTTGCACTGACTTTTAAATTTGGTTCAGGGGATGATTCTTTTCATGGGTGAGAGAACAGACA